ACTTCAGCTGTCTGTTACCCTAACAAGACCTTTGTAAAAGCAAGGAAATCAAGTCTATGTGTGTGTTTTGTTTTGTTTTTCTTCCTAATTGCAAAAAGCAGGAAAAAAAAGATTTTCTCCTAATAAAGCTCCCTGTATTCTCTTCAGAGTGTGTATATGTGGCTATGTGGTATGTATATAGGTTTCTGCACACTTTTTTGATTAAGAGTGTCAAAGAATCCCTCATGTTGAAACAGCTCAGCAATTGTAAGGCCTTTCAAATACTTGGAATTTGGGCCTTGCACTGTTTTCGTTACCTGTGTTTTTTGGCACATATAAGCACTTGCTCTTAAGCCGAGCTAGTTTATAATATGACTTTGCTGGTGCAGCTGAAGGAGTGCTGGCAAACAAGGTGGAATATTAATTTTCTGTTCTATAATCCATTGATAATCCCATTGGGTGAGATCTTTAACCTGCTTTTTTTTATACTTTGCTTAATTTTGGTTAGTGTCAGCTTGACCAGGAGCACCTTGCCTGTGTGAAGGGGAGGGCTATCCTGCAGCTGTTAGCTATCAATAGGTTTGCATAGTTTTTGCAGAAGGTTCTGGTGATGTTACTAAAATGTTTGCTACTTAGAGAAACAGAGTTTAGTAGTGAATTTGAGAATGGCGGATTAGATTGAGTCAGTATTGTTTTTACTCTGCTTTACTACCCATAGGATAATTATAAATTGAATAAAAGCCCTAGCATGAAAGCTCAGTAATCTTACTTTCACATACTTAAGTCAATGATCTATTTGATTTTAATGATATAAGATAGCATAGTTTTGCAGATGCACATGTTTCTAGAATCTATTTAGATTGTTCAGGTAACCATTTTTGGTTACCTGAATTATCCACAGCCATGAAAGTGAGGCATGTGGCACCAGTGTTGCATTTTTATTTTTTACCAGCTGCTTCATGTTTTGAATTTCATTGCCTAGGCTAAAAAGATGCATTGCCCTTCATGAAGGCCGTGTTAGGGTGGATAGGGGAATTAGTGTTTGTCCAATTCTGTGTCAGTCCTTAAAGAAGAGTTTTGGTTAATGGTTACTTATCAGTTCCCCCACATAGGAGTGAGTTTGTACTAGATCATCAAAGGTGTTCTTAATTGTCAGTTTAACTCCTTTTCTTTTCCAGATTTATCTCCTCTCCAGAGGATCTTGTTCTTGTCACAATTCTTAGATTGTGACAGAACAGTCATTGTTATGCATACTTTTATAACAAACCTACTTTTTTTTTTTTAAATAAATTACTTCCCATAGCATGAAGTACTTCTCTAACTTCATAGCTTCTTATGTTAGCTTGTCCCTTCTTTCTTCTCTATTCCCATTGCGTTACAACAATAGGGAGAAAATTATGTCTCTTATTCCCAGCTAGGCCTTATCAGGTGAACTGAAAACTTGGCTGCAAAGGGTCTTTCCTTTTTCTTGTGTTCTCTGTCTATTCTTGCTGCCCTGTTTCCCCCCAGGGACTCGCACCCATTTCTGGCTCTGGGAGAGCTGTGGATGGAGGGAGGCAAGAAGGGCTCTACTCACTGGGTTCTGCTCTGCCTCTTCTGCAGCAATCCTAACCTTTAGCTGCAGTGTGGGATTGCCTATGGAGGGGGAGTGCTAAATTACAGCTGTTTTATTCAAATCTCACGCTCACATCAAATGCATTGAATGTTAAATCACACAAATAAGCATAATGTTGTTTTAGAGTACATATACTGCTCCATATCTGGGGGCATGTTAGGACCTTATCTTCAAAGGCTATCTTCTAAAAAATATAATGCATCAAGATTGCATCTTGTTTTTACTTTTACACATAGAGGTAAAGGAGTAAGGAGGTGTTAAGGCACTTGAATGTGTGACTCAGTCAACGATAGGTTTGGAGAGCTACTTTGTAAGATACTAAATTTTGTGAATGTGAAATAACTTGGCTTATGTGCAAAATATACTAGTGTGTGTAGTACTTCCAAAGCAATGCATCACAGCATTTGCCCATATAGGTTGCTTTGATAGCAGCTAGCTGCTCCCCTTGTCCTGTGAATCGAATTTGCAGCACGAAAGGCAGGATTCCTATAACGGAGGCTCTGAAAGGAAGGCTCCTGAATTCCCTGTGATTGCACCCTAGCAGTAACAGCTTCAAAACCCCAAGCGAACCGCCTGCCTTTCAAAAGTGCTGAACAGTCAGAAGCTCCTACTGAAAGCTGAGGGGTGACTCAACGTTTCTGAAGATCATTCCACCTAAATAAGGTTTTATTTGCCTCATCTTAGTTCTATGAAAGCCAGCGGGCAAAATCCTCATTCATAATTTCTAGGGGTGTAGGAAAGAGCTGCAGGCCTAAAATGTTTCTTTATTTAAAACTCTTCGCTAATATCTTAATCTAGTCACTTATGCATACGAGAGTAATCATAAATATCTGGGGTGGTGTTTTATATTTAAGGAAAATGATGTTCTCTTCTGTTTAAGCTGGCAAGTTTTTGCAGATTTCTGTGCATGCTTGTTGCTATGGTGAATGCCTGGCAGGTTAAGCTTGACTTTTAAAAGAGGATTACTGAGCTCTAGTGCAAAAATGCCAGTGTTGAGGGAGAAACTTTAATAGCTAGGTAGAACGGTCCTACTCAAACTTTTAGGGAATTGTGTTCTTTGGGGAGAAATTAGGTCTGAAACCTTCTTTACAAAGGGAGAAAACTACTGAAAATGGAAAGGGGGCAGATTTGTGCTGTTTTTCCTCAAGTATTCCACTGTGATTTATATTCCAGTTGAAATTAGAGAAGACATTAAATAGGGAAGTCTTTGTTTTGTTATGTAATTGCGCTGGAATTGTCTTGTATTATTCCTTTTGCAAAAAGGAAAATGATGCATTTGCACTGTAATTTTCGTGATGCATTAACTTTCTAAATTAAAACTGCTGCTGTTTGTGTGGTGCGTTTGTTTCCAATAAATAGTTGCTGCTGTTGTACCTCCTAACAAGTAGCAAATTCCAATGTAGTAACAGGTCTTTGACCCAACTTGTGCCTCAGATATGTGGGGAAAAAAACACCTTTTTTTTTCCTTAAGTATTGAAATCGTGTATATTTTAAGTCAGAGTAACATGTTTAAGTTTACTCAGAAAATGTAAATAATAAAATCAGTAATGTATATTTGCTGCCAGTGTTTTGAGAAAGTTAGGCCAAATAGTTGCTAGAATTATTACTTGGCTGACTACCTGAAACCAGAGTTGCACAAAACCTACTATCCTAAGTGTCTGGATAAAGTGAGATCAAATGCAACAATTAGTTCATTCAGAATTGGCAAAAGCAACACAGCTCTTCTCCTAAATTATGAATTAAAGGGAACTTGAAGAGGATGAGGTCTGCTAGTCCTGAAGAGTAACACAATGAGTGGAAATCATTCTAGGTGTATTTCCTTTACAAACGAATTTAAAGGCCAAAATATGTTATGATGAACTTACACTAAACATAAGGGTAAGGAATAATTAAAGCAGCTCTGTTTGACTGAGATAATTTGGAAATGCCTGTTTTTAAATGATTTTATTGATTTGTCTTGATCCAAAAAAAGTTTCACAGAAACAAGGAAATAGAAATGCTCTAGGTGTAGTTCTTGAATACGTATGCTGCTGAGTTATCTAAGAGTGTGTTAAGCTCATGGCCAGATGATAATTTTTTTGACTTCTTGGTTAGCAAAGGGAAAAGCTAGAGTTAGTCTGAAGCCAGAATGTAGCAGAAATATTTTAACAGGATCATTAAATACAGCTGACACATGATTCTCATCTACATTTATGCTTCTTCACCTATTTAAATTTTGTTTAAATCCATGTCCCTTGATTCCCAGTCAGGCTTTTTGCTTGTTTGTCCTACCAGTTGAAAACGTAGGAAATCAATGTCATTGTTCTCCTTTTTCCTAATTTAAAGCCTGTTCATTCATCTAGTAACCCGTGCCTTTCTATATGTACATATTCTGTGTACATGTATATAAAATAATCTTGATTTAAATATTATTCCTAGGGAAAAAAGAGCTTTTATATCTTAAAAAAAAAAAAAAAAAAAACA